GGCTTGGGCTCTGGGGAACACCAGTCAGGACATGGGCTTCTCATCCTGGTTTTTCCAGTGTGGGAGTAAGAGGCCACTACTTAGAGTCTTTGGTTCCTCGACTTAAAGAGAAGACACAGACAGAAAGGCAATGGGGCCCCAACACACAAGAGAGAAGCAGAGAGGGAGGGACTGAGAGGCAAAGGGCCAGGAAAGGTGAGGCATTCTGGGCTGCCCAGGGCTCTTCATCTTTTCCAGTCCTTTCCCCTGGGCCTTGGGGTGTGGCGGAGCCATGGCAGACAGTGGTGTCCCTCCGTGGGGGCACCAGGCAACGGGGAGAGTGTTGACATTAACAGTACATAAGGGAGCTTTGCCAACAGTCTGGAAAAGACACTGAGAACAGACAGAATGTAAACACCAAGCTCCACAGGAGGGGAAGCAGCTCAGGCTGCTCTCCTGTAGGGGACAGGGGAAGGGGACCTTACCAGAACCTCTGCAGTGAGTCCTGGTCTCCTGCGAGCCATGGCAGCACACAGCGAATTGCAGGAAAGGTAGACAAATGAGACTGAGAAGAAGCTGAGCTTTGGGTCTGAGCAGTGCTGCTCTGGGCGGCAAAGACAAAAGCCCCCAGCTTACCACACCTTTTATTCAGTACATCGAGAGAAACAAATGTAACAAATGACTTGCAGAGAGTTCAATAGTTCACATTGGGATAAACAAGGTGTAACGGAAGGCTTGCAGAGAGTTCAGTACATCTCCGGCAAACAAGATGTTAATCAGTTCAAGAACAATGGGAACTGAGCAGATGTTTGTTCTCCCAGGATGTTTCTTGTCCTGGAGAATCACAGCATCACTGGATCACTGAAGTCTCAGTTGTGACGGGAGGCCAAACTGGAGTTATTTTGTAGCTGGGCTGTAGGCAAGAGAACTAGGCTAACCAAATGATTTATCCCTAGAATTATGTAGCATTGCTCCCAACACTCTCCATTCCCAGGTCTCTCTTCCCTTTGTGCCCAGGAAGCCCAGGACTGGCCATCCCTTGTTAACCACTCTGACTGAGTTTCTGACATCTATACCTTTTTGGAGAGGCCTTTTCAGACCATCTTTCTGACTTCTCCATTTGTCCTTGGCTGTTTCTGTCATGTCTGATCTCCATTCTCTGGACAAGGAAGTCCTGGGAAGTGTAATGGACCAGATCCCAGGCAGGGCTGGCCTCTCTATAGGATGGCTTGAAGGAGAGAGGAGAAGCTAGAGATCAGAATAGAGCCCAGAAGCTGACAACTGAGCCAGAAACTGCCCTCATCACTGCTCCTATGAGCTCAGCTCAAGGCTTGATGGGGCCTGGGGTGAGAAAGAAGAGGCTGGGGCAAGACTGGGGCCTGAGAGCAGCAGTCTGCATCAGCCTTCCTTCTTTGGGGCCAGTGTCCTTCCAAGGAGGACAGATTCCATGGTGCAAAGCAGCAGGAAAAGTCAAGAAGGGCAGTAGCAACATGGCTCTGGAGTCAGTCATTTGGGTGCAGGGGTGCTATGGGCTCTGAGGGGCTATAGGGACCAGGGGAAGGGACTGCCATAGCTATGCATGGTGGTGCATGCCTACAATCCCAGTAGGAAGACCGAAAATTCAAGCCCAGACTGGGCAACTTAACAAGATCCTGTCTCAAAAAGCAAAAAAGGTCTGGGGAAATAGCTCAGTCCAAAGGCTGTGGGTTCAATTCTCAGTAAAACAAAAGTCTCTGAAAAAACAAAAGAAATTAAGGGTGTGGTAGGGCTTCAGTTACAGTGGAAGGTGCTGTAGTCTGAGTGTTTGTGTCACCCCAAAATTTATATGCTGAAAACCTAATCATTGATATGATGATATTAGGAAGTAGGGCCTTTGGGATGTGACTGTCAATAAGGTGGAGCCCTCAGGAATGGTGCTGATGCCCTTATAAAAGAGGCCCCAGAATGCGGTCTTGTCCCTCCATAGGAGTAACAGTGAGAAGGTACTAACAATAGCAAGTGATAAATTTCTGCTGTTTCTCAGCCACCAAGTCTGAGGCATTTTGTTACAGCAGCCTGGAGAGTCAAAAACAGAAAGAATTCAGGAAGAGCTCCATTCCCAGTACAGAATTAAAAAGCTAAATGAGAAATGGAGGCAAGATCAAGTTAGGCAGAGCCTCGATGAGACAGTAGTTGGAAGCCTAGGGATTGGCCTGATGTGGGTTATGGAACCAGATAGACACACAGTAGCTCAAATTTCAGCTCCACCACTCAACCTTGAGCAAGGGAGAGCATCCTCTGAATACCTATGTTCTCGCCTGTATGACAGAGATGGTACCAATTCCACAGAGTTCTTGTAAGAAGTAACAAAGGCAAGTCCCTAAAACAGTGTCTAAGATCACATGAGAGGTGCTTGATATTGTTATTTCCTCCCAAGAAAGGGGAGGTTTCAGACTCTTCCCCCAAGACTGATGAGCTTGTTTCTCTCAGAATGTATTTGGATCCTGTCAGGACCGCAAAGAGAAGGGGTGATGCTGAAAGCTCAGAGGAGACATCAGGATTGTGTGCCTTCAGAGCAAACTCCAGCACAAGACAGGTGGCCTGCCTGGGACACATAAAAGCAGGTGCACGTGGGAGGAGCCCAGTGAGTCCCTGCCAGTGTGCTGGAAGCCAAGTTCCAGAGTCCTAGTGCCCTTTCCTTCCTGAGGGCTGCATAAGCCTGACAAAGGAGACTCTACTGGGTTAACACAGGCAAGGAAGTCCCTCTCTGGAAGCTGAGGAAGGTGCTGGACCCAGGCAAAGAGACAACCTGAGGTTACTGTGTTAGGGAAGAGCATCTCAAAGATCATGGTACCCAGAATGAGGTATTGGGTAGACATAGGGCTCAGGTAGCAAAAACCAGATTGTGGAGCCCAGGATGGTGACAGAGTGGCTTGGGTGGGGGACAGAGTGCTGGGAGAGGCAGCAGGAATTCTGGACAGGTCTGCACAAGTGGGTCTGGCTTTGTCCTCCTAGTGTCTCCTGAGCTGGGTGTGGAGCAGCCAGGTGGCCCACCCCAACAGACAGGTCATCCCACCCTCAGGGACATTTCCTCTCTCCAGTGCCAAGAGCCAACCAGAGTCTCTAGCTCAACCCAAAGTCCCAGGCAATGGACTTTAGTCCTTACACTGCTCTGTTACTTTGAGCGAGCCAATCCTCCCTGTGAGCTTCTTCTTCCCATTTGAGCAAGGAGGTCAGGGTGAGGAGGAAGTGAGTTTTGAAGAGGAAGGAGTAGATGCCCCTGGAAATGGCCGTGGGCCTGGAACACAAAGAAAGGCAGTGAGGGTAGAAGCAGTTGCAGAGAGCTCCAGAGCTAAGGAAACAGTGGGGCCAACAGGAATTCTGGAGTAGAAGGGGGGCTTTCTACCCCTCTCAGCCTCTCAGTACTCCCCATGGAGAACACAACCCAAGACCCAACTGTTCCCTCCCAGTGACTCAGGCTTTGGCTGCCCTCCTGCCCACACCCAAGCCCTTCCAGTGCCTGAGAACAGAAAGGGCTGTAACGTGGGTGTGCAGGAGGGATGGCTGCTCTGCCCAGGGGGCCTTTGTGGGAGCAATCTAGGTGGAGGTCATTGGTACCCTTGTGGCCATGTCACCCTGAGCCACGTCAGGAATGTGGGTTGAGCTGCAGTGGGGCTATTCTCCCTCTTCCCTGAGCACTATTTCTCATCAGCAAAGGGCAGGACATCACCACCACAAGGTGATGTGCATTTTTATACTCAGTACTGGGGCCATGGGGAGACAGTGGAGGAGGTGTTGGGGCTGAGCCAGGGAGGTGCAGAGGAAGTGAAATGAGCTAACCAGGGCCTTGTGGGATCCTGGGCAGAGGCTGTGGCTACACAGGACAAGACTGTTAGGAGGACACAGGAACCATGGTGCCTGCTGAGCTCAAAGGCAGCTATGCTAAGATACGAGGGAAATATGGAATCAATAACCCTGTGTTTATTAATAGCCATAAGTAGCATTCATTTGAGGACCAGCCTGTGTGAGCTGGTTCACATAGATTATTTCTTTAGTCCTCACAATAACTCTATTTTACAGATAAGGAAACTGAGGTCCAGAAAGTTTAAGTAAATGATCCAGCAATTATTTTCACAGCAATTAAGCATCTGAGCTGGGATTTGGATATCTGATATGCTGTACTACTTCTAGTCCGGTTCTTAGCTTTTTCTGTGCTGTGGAAAGTGTGGTAAAGCCTATGAGATCCTTCTTAGAATGATGTTACTTAAAAATACCTTAGGGGCTGGATACTAGCTCAGTGGTAGAGCTCTTGCCTAGACCGTGCAAGGCCCTGGATTCCATCCAGCGCTGAAGAAAAAACAAAACCACATTAGATTTATGAAGGAGCCCAATCATATTGAAATATAGTCATGAAGACATTCAACAAATGTGCAATATAATACTACATATGCTTTTTTATTAATATGTTAAATAGCAAGATTCACTAGCTATCATAATTTCAAAACAGTGATGAATATAGATAATATTTTATAATATTTTGTTACAGCAAAAACTGTAACATGGTTTCTATTGATGACAAAGTCACAGGCACTGGCAATGCCTATTTCCTTAATAGAAGGAAATGTTTCAGTTAGAGATTAGTGAAAATAAAAGTGTAATTTTTTTCCCCCGTCAAAATGTTAGAGGGAAGTTATTATAACCTGGTGTGTAGTGTTGGGTGGTCTCCTTAGAAACCTTTTTGCTCTGCTGGTAGGGGGTGTGCAAACCACTTCCAGACTTGTTGGTGACATCTTAGGTGACTCCAGGCTTCAACTTTGAGCTACTTTACCCCATGATGTCCCTGGGGTTTAGGGTTTCCAGGTTTAGCAATTAAAGCACCAAGAGTCTCAGTTAAATTTGAATTACACATATACTATGAATAGTTTTTTAGTCTATGTACATGTGGTACTGTGTTATTTTTCTATTGTGATGTCACAAATCAGCATAATTGTAATGGCTTAAACAACCCAAGTTCATCAGCTCGCAGCTCTCCAAGTCAGAATTTAGATGTAGAGTAGCTCAGTCAGAACTGCTGCTCAGAGTACAAGGGGCCTTGCAAGTCAATGGCAGGACTTTGGATTATACCTGGAAAGGTGAAAACAAGAGGAGTTGTCTTTTGAGCAGAGCACAGAGATGATCCAATTTAAGAACTAACCAGGCAGCTATAGATTTTCTATGGAGATGAGATGGTGGGCATCATGGCCCATGCCCACTGCTGCTGGGCAATGTGAGTGGAACACGAGAGCCATGTGGCCAGGTCTCTATCAGCTGAGAGCTTTTGATGTGTTTGGGAGATGAGACAAGGTAGGGTGGAGGAGTGCATAGGAGCCAGGACTTTCAATACAGAAGGGTCCAGATTGAGTCTTCCTGCTGCCACCCCCTAGCCTAGAAAGTTACTTAAAGTCTCTGTTGCCTCATCGTTAAGTGGTAATAAGTGGTATTAGCAATGTCTGCCTGATAGGTTTCTGTGGGGGCTGACTCAGCCCAGAGTGCCTGGCACAGAGTGGGCCTGAAAGAGATAGCAGCTGGTGTTATTATTCAGTAATAATGTGAGGTAACACCGTGCTCCTCACTGGGGTGTGGGGGTGGCAGTGGCGGTGGTGTTGGGGACAGAAATCTTCGAGCAGAAGGTAGATGAGAAGAGGGAGAAGGCATGGAGGATGGGAGCTGGCCGGAATAAGCACAGTGTGTTCTCACAAAGGAACATGAGGGTGAGGTCACTACAAAATCTCAAAGGGAAGTCCCAGAAGCAAGGGCAGAGGGGGAGAGGGCTCAGGCAGGTGCCAGATTCAGCTGGTGGGAAGGCCAGGTTCTGAAAAGCATGAACATGAATTGTCTAATTAGAGGTGACAGGGAGTGGGAAAGAGACTAGACTGGGGCAGGAGGGAGGAGAGAAGCGTGACAGTCCCAAGCCTGACCCAGCTCTTTCTCATCTCCGGTGGCAGGCCAGGGTGGGCTGGGGTGGCCCCCAGCAGGTGTCCTGGCGCCCAGGAGCTCAGGACTGCTATGCAGAAGGAGGTAGGCCTCTTTTTCCTGAAATCGGATCTCTCAGGCAGCTGTCTACTCAGCCTGATGGACTCCGGGACATTCCTCCCAAGACATCATTCTCACTAGCCTCTCCCCAGGCTGGCTGTGCGAGAGGACAGGAACCGGATGCAGAAAGGGGGTGGGAATGGCAGGCCCTCTAGTCACGTCCCAGGGAGTGACAGGTAGAGCCTACAGTGGGGGCAGCCTCAACTTTCTGTCTTCCTACTAGGTCTGGCTGGGAGGAGAAAACGGCCCCCACTGGAGTCTGTGCAGCCTCTTTGGCTCTAGGTGAGTGATTCCCAGTCTGGTCATATCCAGGCCCTGAGTGTGCCTGGAGATCCCAATAGAGGTTGGAGAGCTGTTTTTGTGTTTATAAAAAATCTCATAGAAATCATGTATTTTCTGCAACAAGGCTAACTCCTACTCATCCTTCAACTTACGTGTCACTCCTCTGGGGTGAGGGGCAGGCAGGACACAGGTACCTGGAGGGACAGAAGGGGATTGTCCAGCACACCTCCCAAGGCTGCGTTGGAAGCCTTCTGACATGTCCATCCACCCCTTGCTTACCCAGAACACAGACTGCAGCACAGCCATGTAATCGGCCACTTCCTTGCCTGTCTCACCTACAAGACCTACATCTCTCTGAGGGCAGGGCCTGTAGTTGTTCTGATGCCCCTGGAAACTCCAGTGTGGAAAGCAAATAAGTAGGCTGCTCAGGAGAACTGCAACGTTTCATTTCTTTGTGTGGGGCTGGGAAGAGATCATTCCATGTGGAAATAGCAGTTATCACCTGCAATCAGCAGTTCAGATGATCAGTTCTGTAGGCCCCAGTAGTAAACACAAAGCAACAAAGTTAACTTGTAATTTAATGAACTGCATTTGTTTAGTACCCAAAAATTCTTCAGTAGCACTCATGGGGCATGAGTGAGAACAATTATAAGGAGTTCTTGGTGCTGAGAATCTCTGAAAACACCCTACCAGCAGCAAGGGGTGGGCCATCCAAGGGCATTCATACATCCGGCACCACTGAGAGCTGGCCGGCACATGGTGCCCAGGCCAACCAAGTCCAGACAGGCCTGCTCTCATCTTCCACCTCTAAGCCTCTACAAAGCCTGAGCAGCCCAGCGATCCCTCCAGTGTGGCCTCTGCCCCAGCAGCCTGCCAGGTCTCCCCATCTCCACTCCTGGCTTTTCTCCACCCAGCAATTCTGGATCATACCATGCTCCTGCTCAAAAACCCCTGCACTGCCTCTAATTTCACTTGGAAGAGAAACCATCTTCCTTAGCAGCTGATGGAGACCGCACCTTTTCACCACTGCTCTTAGGTTTTGGCTTCCCTCCCACTTGCTCCCACCCCCTGATACTTCAGGACTCAGATGTGATTTGCTCAGAGAAATCTACCCAGAGACTCCTGTTATCTTCTCACCAAGGTCTGTACCTTTCCATCCTCGTACTCACTGCAACGGGGAAAAAACTGCAGTTCACTGTGCCATTGAATAGGGGCTGGTGTCCACACTTTGTGAGCTTCTCCAGAGCAGGAGCCTGGGCTGCCTCCTCCATGGCTGGATCCCCAACATATTTGTTGAACAAATAACAAAATTAAAGGCCTTTACTAGACTGCCAATAGGCTTGTTGGGGAGACAAAGACGACGTATAAAACTATTCAGAACAACGCAACATGATTTGTGTAGAGCTGTCTCCAGAAAGCTTGGCCCTAATTCTTGGAGCTTTAGGAATTCAGAGAAAGGAGGAAAGGGTATAAATGATCTGGTGAAGACTCTGCTTGAGGCCACCCATTATACAAGGGAAGAGATGGGGCAAAGTAGCATTGATAGTGTACCTGACAACCCAGGAACTTGTTTATTCAGCATCTTTTAAAATTTTCATGGTTATTCTAGTTTTACAAATGAGGAAACAGAGGGCCAGAGAAGTAAAGTAACCCATCCAAGGTCACAATGAAAGTGGCAGAACAGAGCCAAGAGTCAAGGCAGGTCAGACATCAAACCTGTGTTCCTGTCACTAGGGATAGGAAAGGGGTGGTGGTGGTAAAAAGTGTCACTCCCTGGTCACTAGGGCAGTACCTTAAGTGGAGGCTTAGGACAGAAAGACATCTTGTCCACAGTGATGCCAAAGGCTGGTCGTACTATGACATAAACTCTGGTCTGAGAAGCCATCTAGGTGTAAGCCATGTGGATTCCAAGGGGTCCAGCAGCAAGCAGGGCAGTAGGACACACCCCAGAGCAGCTGCAAGCCCTTGGAGATGGCCGGAAATTGGACAAGCCCTGGAATTAGGGTCTGGGCACTGCTCCCAGCATCTGCCTTTGGAAGGAAGCAGCTGAGCTGCTGTGGTTTTGGAGATTTCCCTTCCCCCACAAAGAACCAGCACAGGCTGCTAAGACGGGCCCACAGGTGAGCAGAGTTGGGCAGGGTGGGCTGCATGGCTCTGTCTTGGTGAGGTGAGGGAGGAGTGGGAGGGGGCTCAGTCCTGCCAGGCTGACCTCAGCTGGGTAATGTGATCAGCCTGTCATGGTTCTGAGCCCTGATTTGGAAAGAACAAAGAGGCCAGGCCCCTCAGTCTCCTGGAGCCCAGGAATGCAGCTGGGGGCCAGGCCGTGACCAATTGGGAATGCAGGTTGGGAGCGCAGCGAATGCGGTTTGTAGAGCAAAGCTTTCATGCATTGATGGGAGCCTAGCTCACAAAGCCAGGCTGACATGCCCCCTTGCTTGCAACTTTGCTATCCCAGCCCCGCCTTGAGGGAGTTGCGCATCCCCACGCTGTCTGGCCAGGACTGCCCTGTGGTGGCCCTCCAGGTGATGATGGGGTGGGGAGTGGAAACTCAGATCCATACTCTCTATCCCCAACCTACCAGTCTTCCTAGGAGCCAGCGTCCTCTGTCTATCTCTCTCCTCAGGAAGTCTGAGAAATAGGCAGGGAGAAGAAAGAGCTCCCACTGAGTCTCCTCTGTGTTCTTAGGACTGGGGAGAGGTGGATAGATAGGCAGAAGCACCCCGGGAGAAGCTGCCGGGTCCCAGGCAGCCACTTCTCTGAGCAGGTCACAGAAACCTCTGGAAGCCACCCCCTCCAGAGAGAAATAATGTTGAGGTTGGGGGGATCTGACTCCCAGCTTGGACTTCTGAATACTTTTTGCATTTTAAAGCTCCTGGGTCTCTCCAGCCCCAGCCCCAGTGTCTCTTCCTGCTGGCAGCTCACTCAGTGTGGGGTCCTCTGAGCCTGCCTTCATCTACCTTCCCGATTATCCACGGCTCTCCCCCTCCCGGTTCCCTCTCTCTGGTCTCCTTAGTGTTCCATGCACTTCCTCTCCTCCTGGTGACAATAGGGACAGTGCTTTTACAGTTTGCAAAACACAAAGATAAACATTAACTCTATTTTTATCAGAGCCCTATGAAGGGGACCCTTCCCCTTAGCTATGCAGAAAGGAAGAAGGCAGGGAGCAGGTGGAGGCTCTAAAGGATGCTGAACCGCAGGCTCATGTGAATGCTGTTGACTCAGATGACCCCAGGAATGGGACTTGAAAACTGCCAGGGATCCTGGGGTGAAAGAGCTCCAGGGACGAAAGTGTTCCAGGAGCTGGGAAGATGTTCTGTTTGTTTTTCTATCTCCAATTTCTAATATGGGGCGTAGAGAAGGGAGAGAGTCCAGAAATGTTTGTGGATGATTTGAATGTGCCTGCTTTTCTGTTGTATTTGCTCTCATGAAAGCACCTGGAAGCCACACTGAAAACAAATGATAGATGATAGTTTGCAAATGACACCTCTCAAAGAAGTTGGTTCTTATGTTACAGATACAATTTCAGCAAGAAGATGCTGGACAGTTTCTATGATTAGAAGAGGCACTTAAGAAGAGGAAAGGGTTTCTCCAGAGAGGTTCCTGGTCATCTGAGGGTTTGGAGGGTCCCAGTAGGATTTATAGGGAGGAAATTGTGATGGGTAGAAAGTCCTGGGCTCACTCTTTGATTTTCCTACCCCAGGGTCAATCACTGTTGAAAGGAGAGATCTTAGCTGTAGACCTTTGGGAGAGAGAGATTGATTCTGGGGTCAGGATTGTAGCTTAGTGGTCTACTACTTGCCTAGCATGTGTAAGGCCCTCGGTTCAATCTCCAGCACTGCAAATTAATTAATTAATTAATTAATTAGATGGTTTCTTTTCTGTCCTCTGTGTGGATTTCATTCTCTCAGGCTTTCTGGCAGCTCTCAAGTTGTCGTCAACCCAGCTTCCCAACCAGAAAGAAAATAGAGCTTCTCTCTCTTGGATCCAGCATGAAAGTTCCCAGAAAAAGATTTTGCATTGGCCCAGCCTGAGGGGTGCCCTATGTCCTAGGGGTCCACTAGGCCCATCATAGTGGTCCTGGAAACAGGATGACCCAGTAAGTATTTGGACTACAGGTTATAGGATGCCAAAGGAGTCTCCCAAGAGGGGGAAACATCATAGACATTGCCTCTGGGGGAGCTGAGCTGGGTAATCATCTGAGTTGAGCCTACTATAAAGCAAGTTTATTATAACATAGCTTGTAATAGTGCAATCTTAGAATAACCCCCATGTTTATCAATAGTGAGCAGACGAATAAGTGTTGACACTTTTAGGGTGCCATGTATGCAGCTGTTAAGAAGATTGGGGTCAAGGGCTGGGATTTAGCTCAGTGGTTCCACCACCTGCCTCACAAGTGCAAGGTCCTGAGTTCAATCCCTGATACCAAAAGAAAAAGAATATTGGGATCAAATATCTCTAGATGGAAAATCTCTATATTAAGTTTAAACTATAATATATTATAGTTTCAGAACAATCTATGTAGTATTATTTATATAATATAAAGCAAATTAAATGGTACGTATTTTTAGATTTATGTGTTTAATATTCATTTTTATTTTATTTTTTTCCCAGGTTAAATTTTATTTTATTGGTACATTTTAGGTATACAATATAATGACATTCATCATTGGAAATTTGCACCTCTACATAATCTCTCTTGGTTCTTATTTGTTCCCCCTTCCCCTGCCCTCCCTTCAACCCCTCCATCCCTCCCTATTTACAAAGACTTTGTTTCCTTTATTTTATTTTCTCATATTGATTCCATTCCCTTCTTTCCTTGCCCCTAACCTCCAAAGTTCCCTTCCCCTTTCCCCCTTTTCTTCCCATTTCACATTACCTATTATACCTTTTAGTCCTTATTTACACTTTCAGTTTCTCACACTAGAGAAACTATTCAATATTTACACATGTGTGTCCTATTTATTTCACTTAAGAGTATCGCCTTAATGTGCATCCATTTAGCTATAAATGTCTCTAATTTTTCATTTTTTATGGCTGAGTGGTACTCTATTTTTTTTTTTTACTTGTTTACTTTCTCAATTTTATCAACATTTTCTTTATTTATTTATTGGGGTTTTTCTTTTTTTCTTTTTTTGGTATCAGGGACTGAACTCGGGTCCTTGGGCTTTCGAGGTAGGTGGCAGAACCACTGAGCTAAATCCCCAGCCCAGTACTCTATTTTATAAAAAAACCCACATTTTCTTTATCCAGTCTCCAGTTGATGGCCATTTGGGCTGCTTCCAAGTTTTAACTATTAGAAACTGCACTGCTATGGACATGGGTGCTCATATATCACTGTGGTATGCTTCTTTTAATTTTGGGGGGAAGATACCCAGCAGGGGAATAGCTGGGTCAAATGGGACTTCCAGTCCTAGTTTTTTGAGGTATCTCCATAGTGATTTCCACAGTGGTTTCACCATTCTACACTCCCAGCAGCAGTGGAGCAGTGTTCCTCTTTCCCCACAGCCCCGCCAGCATTTGTTATTGGTTGATTTCATGATAGCAATCATTCTTTCTCGGGTAAGGTGGAATCTCAGCATTGTTTTCATTTGCATCTCTCAAATGACCAGTGATGTGGAACATTTTTTCATACGCGTATTTGCTATTTCTACTTCTTTGTCTGAGAAGCTTCTGTTCATTTCAGATGCCCATTATTGGATTGGGTCTTTAAATTTGGGAGGTCTGATTTTTTTTTTAAGTTCTTTATAGTTTCTAGATAGTAGACCTTTGTTTGAAGAACAGCAGGTGAAATTTTTTTTCCTCACATTGTGGCTTGTCTCTTAGCTCTGTTGGTGGTTTCTCTTGCTGTGCAGAAGCTTTTTAATAAGAAGAGATCCCACTTGTTGATTGTTTGTGCTAGTTCAC